TAGGGTTTAGGGTTTAGGGAAGTCGACGACAGCTGAGGACATGTGCCCTCCCTCCACTGATCGTTAGTCTCCAACCTGCCCTATCCTCTGTTACTCTGGACATCCCTGAGACCTCGAAACCGTGCAGCCCTGCAGAAGCTCGCCGTTAGTGCCTTAACATAGCGGAGTCCAGAAACCGAATCTCATCCTTTGACTAGTGTTTAACCCCGAAAACGACCACACCTCACACCCTCAGCCTTGACGACACCTGTACTTAGCCATAAGCCCGAACACCTAACTCCCACATTCCTCCAAGGCCCAACCACAAAGCCAAATCTGTAAAATGACCAATTCGTTGCTGGATGGGACGTCCTGATCTAACATATGCCGCAGGCCCTCGCCTCCTGTCGCCACTACATTCTGCGAAGGCCTGCATTCCTAAACCATAAACTTTGAATCCTAAGCCCTGTCTACAGCACACACTGCCCCTGGCGGCCTCCACCTTCTTCTCGACATGGATGACCTCTGCTTCCCACTTTTTGGTCTGCACTTCTTTGGCGCCACCACTGCACAGTTTGTAATTCAAGTGCTGTCCGAGGCCCAGTCTCTACCACCTCTATATATGTTGAATGAGTCTGAGCCATGGCTATACTCCCTGAGATGCAGCCAGAACCTAGAAACCTTACCGGCACACACCCGAGCTTCAAGTCCTGTCACACAGATCCTTCAAGCGTTCCGGCGGAAGCACCGAAATCTGCACCCTTGGTATGCCCAACAGCAAGCATCCTGAAACCCACGAATCGGCACGCTCCTAACCAAAAAGCTGTTCATCCTCAGTGCTGGTCATTGTCATAGTTAATTAGGAATGTCAACATCAGGTGCGTCTGTGTTGCTGCTGTAGTTAGTGTTGCTATTGCTGCGATTGGTCTTATTGCGAAGCATGTTGATAGCTCTAATGATGGCTGTTATCTTGTCATATCTCGAATGGACGGGGGACCTCCTCGGCATCGACGTGCTTGATGACCGGCACCTCCACCTCCTTCCTCAGGGTCGAGAGTCTGAGGAGTGAGCATGGAGTTTCGGGTGCCAGGCACCCTAGACCCTAAACCCGAACGAGTTTGGGTTTCGGACTTTTGCAGGACCAGTATACTGCGGCAACTTGCTGTGCAGGCTGACATCTTGAGGCTGTAGAGTTTGGGCTTCAGTATTTTAGGTATTTGGGATTTCAATCTGTCCGGCTTCAGGGGACTTGAGGAGTACGGGTGCGACTAAACACCCAAAACTGGTAACCGCTCAATATCATTGACTGCTACACAGATTGCTGCACAAGCAGCAGCTACAGCAGCTGCTGCTGAGGGAACGGTTACCGCTCAGTGTTTACATCCCATTACCACTGCACCCTTCCGGCTTACAACTGTATGGAAGGTACTTCAACAGAGGGCGTGTCCTGACCACCTTCACTTGTGGCACTTCCACCTGTTCAACGCATGTGTCTATTTGCGGCGCTCGGTGTTGGGCTTTGTGTCTAGAGCTTCTGATGGGATTGGGGGTTTGAGATGATCCCTTCTCAGTCTCTAGTTCAAGCTCATGACTTCGGATAGGTTTGGCTGCCTGGCTCATGACCAGTGATCTGGTCGGATCAAGGAGCCAGCTGGGGCCGAGGATATGGAAGGGACGTCAGCTTGGCTCTGCAAAGCAGATGAGAAAAGGGGCTTGTATAGCGACATAGCAGTGGTAGGCAGTAGTCGTCGTCCTCCTCCTGCTGCTGGTACCACTCGCACTAGCTAGCTAGCTACTCGCTACTAGCTCCTCACCTCTAGCTACTTGCTACTACTACTATGCACTAGGTAGTAGGTACCAGGTCCTAGGCCCTATGTGGTACGAGGGAGTAGGTCCTAAGTACTACGTACAGTTACGAGTACTACGTAGGCCCTAGGCAGCAGCAGCAGCAGCAGCAGTTGCCGCAGCAATGCCGACAGGAAATGGAGTGTTTTTCGATTGCCGTTTGACGCTGTTTGAGCTCGCAGTTTAGCCCTTCAGGCCCACTTTCGAGCCTAAGCAGGTGTCAAGTCTGGAGCTTTTCAGGCATTCTTGCATAAGTGGTGGAGCTCTGAAGGCCCGATCGCCTCCAGCTACCCGCAAACTGGCCACGTCGAAACCCTGAAATCATCTCAAATCCGAAGTCCGGAAGCCTTCTTCTTGCCAAGCCCTACTGTAGATTCGAGGCTGTGCGGTAAGGCCTGCCTTCTTCTCTACTTTCTGCACCTGCGGGACATTGCGCGTCACCTGGATCGCGAGGTTGCAGTTCAGGTTTGTGGTTCGTGCAGGGCGGTCGAAGGTCGGAACCCTACATGAGAGGAGGCACCGAGGCCCCAAACTTCGGGGTGCAAGGAAACCCTCAGACGCTGCTTGGCGGGGTACCCGATTTGGCACTCGATCTTGGAGCTTGAAGAGAGCAAAGCGTAGGGTGTCCCACCTACTCACTGCTCTATAGTACAGCGACGGATGCTGGCAACCCTTCGTTCAGAGCAGAAAGTTGTATGCTAGAACACGTCATGTTTGACTCCTGACCTGTTGGTCCCTAAACCCTAAACCCCTAAACTCAGAGACTGCGCGAGGCCTTGAGGCGGAGACTTCCGGGTCTGAGATCTAAGGTCTCGTAGGCTTCAGGATGTTTAGGATCTCGGAGCTTTAGGATGTTGAGGGTTTAGGGTTCCGGGAATTCGACCTGAGGATTTCCGCTTCCCAGTCTTGGACCAAAGTAGAGGGTCTACGATGCTCGGGAGTTGAAATTGCTACGGGGGACTTCCTTCTAAGTAGCACGTTGTTTACCTGCGCCGGGCAGAGAAACTCCTCCTGCTGCTCCGGAATATCGAAGCAATTGAAACTTGAGGTCAAGAAGCGGGGATCTGGATGTCCACGATCCGGTCGACAAACTGGATGCACGGCCTCAGACAGCTGGGGTGGAATTGGGTTTCGGGCCCTTGCCTAGGGCATCTAGGATCTGTTGAAGGGCTGGATTCGAGCTTCACTGCATACCCAATCTAAAAAACCTAAACTCCGAACCCCTGAATAGCTTCCTACTAGGTGCCGGACACCTCGATGCGTCGCGTCTGCTTCGACTGGCGCAGGGGTGGGATGCTCCAACATAGGCGCGATCTCTAGGATGCTGGAAGGCTAAGCCCCCTGTGCCTTGGACTCCACCACATCGCTAAGGCAAGCAAAACCTTTATCCAATGTCACAGGAAGAACCAACGTGAAACTATTGACGCAGCACAAACGCCTGAACCTGCATGCCCGAAACCGCAAACCCACATCCACGTCCACATCCTCATTGAAACCCGAAACCCTGAACACCACTGCGAAAGCGCATGCCCACGCTCTAAATCGAAACCCGAAGCCCTGAACCCCCAGCCAAGACTGGGAGTGAAGCCCAACAGGCCTGCACCGGGACAGGCCGAAGCTTTTGCACCGGAACCTTCACCTGTCTTCGGTTTCGCGTGGAAACCCTCACGCCCCAAACCCCTCAACCCCAGACTTAGGCATAGCTCACATGCATTGGGAGGTCAGTGGTCCAGGATTCCTGGGCAGGGCAGCACCCACAAACCATGCCGACTATGCACCTGAAGCTCAGCAAGCGAGCCAAACCCTAGTCGGCCTCCACGTCCTCGTAGACGATCTGCTCGACCTCGACGTGCTTTTGAGTCTTGATCACCTGGCTGCTGCATCATTGCACTGACAACCCTACAGACTGGAATTAATGCACAGCATATCGCAGCATGTTGCCGTTCTACGCATGTCAGACTGTCTTGCATGAACCAGAGAGCCACGCTATCGCAATGAATTGTGTGTTGTCATCACGAAACCAGAATCCACCTCGTGAGAATATTGCTTCAAACTGCTGCGACAAATGAGGCGCACAAAGCGCGCGAAGCGCAATAATTTTTTTAAGGCATATGAGCCACGTGATCGGGGCCAAACACCCATGGTTGCGGCACCTAACAGCTTAGGATTCAAAGGCCAGTACCATGTATCAGCGCAGAGCCCCCTAAACCCTAAACCCATATAAACAATATAAACAACGAAGAGCAGCTCGACAGTGGAGGCCTGGCCTTGGGAACCTGAACGGTCTGCGCCACGGGGATTTCAACCACTTTGTCCTTCCGCCAGCTCGCAGGGTTTAGGGTTTAGGGATGTAGGGTTTATGGTTTAGGGAACCGGTAGTGAACTAGCACGGATATTGCCAAGACATGGTGTTTTTTCCGAAGCACGGGCCAAGATTGATTGTAATCAAAGCGTCGGTCGTGAAGTCGCAATTCCTGGTCTGTGCATGTAGGCTTTTTCTCCGTGTCATGACCATACGGCGTGTCCGGTTGATGTCCGAAACCTTTTGTAAGGATAGCCAGAATTCAGCAAATCTCCCGCGCTGCGGCTGTAGATGTGAGCTCTCGGTCTGGTTCGTCACTCCGCCTGAATACAGCGAGTGAATCCCTACGACTCTCAACAGTTGATGTCGCGAGCCAGCTCAGAGATTGACAAGTCTCTCTTGCGAAACAGCAAAGCACACCCCTCATGGATTCAAAATCTCCAGTGGTGCGGCGAGCCCACACACTGGGACAAAACACTTCGTGAGTTTGGCAATGCCTCCCAACTACGAAAGCCAGGCTCTGAGCAGAGACAGCAAACACAGAAACTGCCTTGACCTGCTGCAACATTACGTCAAGCTTCCCCAGCTTGCGCAGACACCGGAGCCAAAAGCCTGACCTTCATGCTCAGTGGAGGCGATTCCCGTCTATGCCTATGCAAAGTCTTTGCTGCAATGCCGCTTGAGCCCCTTCACTGCAAGACATGTGGTGTAGGACCTCGGCTCATCCCATCAGCTGCGTTAGATGCCCTTCGGCACCGGTGGGCATGGCAGGAGCCGTTAGCAGCACTGGAAGGCACACCAGCATCGCAGCTGCACCCTCCGCTAGCAGCGCCAGCGGTGGAAAGATGAAAGGAAGAAGAAGGCCGACATCCCTGGACATCATGACTGTCTCCCGAGTCTTCCAAACCACTAGCAGGCCTGCCACGGCTCCGAGGATTGCGGCCACGAGCGCCAAACTTGCCCTGGGCGTCGAGGCCTTGCGGCCGAAGCGTGAGGCCATGACAGTGGCAGCTGTAGCCCCATATGCAGCTGCCGATGGGAGCAGGAAGAGCGCAAAAGGTGCCCAATGGGCTGTGGCAGCCAGCAACACCAAGCTGGCGGTGGTGCGATGGGAAGCCTTAAAGTACTTGGAGATGGATGGGTGTTTGCGGTAAAAGGCCACCACTGTGTGCACGAGCAGCATCAGTGCTGCGGTTAGCCCCAGCAAGTAGAACAGATGATCTCCGTTCTCTCCTGAAAGTTGGAAAAGCATCTGAAGGCCGCTTGTCTTAAAGACGTAGATAAGCTCTCCACAGGCATGAATCGCAGCCCAGCCGGCAGTTCTCCAGCCCAAGGCCTTGTGGAGATCAATTGTAGCTTGCCTTCCCAAACCCATGAAGGGACCGACAGCTTGGCTGACAGGTACAGCCAACAAGGACAGGTGCCAGCTGAGAGGAAACGCCGCTGCCAAAGCAACCGCCAGGAGAACACCAGAAAAACTCGATTGGTAGAATGTGTCCGCCAGCATGTAAGTCAACGGCATGGCAAACCAGAGGACCGACAATCCTGACCAAATGGTAGCAAGAAGGCCCACCTGCGCTGATGCCATCCGATGATTATCACCACTGCGGCCTTCTTCTTCTTCAATTGGAGTCTCACCCTTTGAAAAAGACACTGACATGCGGAGAGCCCCCAGCAGAAGCGGGGAGATCCATACCAGCAGCACTACAATGGCAAAGCCAGTCAGACCAGCCCACACACCAGGCTTGAAGCAATAACTGCCAGCATGGCCTGAAAAAGTGCTGCACTCGTCCGGGTTTTGCAGATTGCACAGTCCTCCGATCCCTCCCACGCCTCCAACATTCTCGCCCAACCTCCAACATGCATAACGCAAGGGCTCGTACAAGCCGGCTGCGAGCATCATGAACTTCCAGGAGCCTGCCAGTGAAGGGTAAGCTTTACTGACCTGCATTGCGAACGGAATCTTTCCTGTCCAGAGTTGATAAGCATGAACCAACTTGAGCCTTAATGGCCTTGGAACTGCAACTTTATATCCACATCCTGCCGCGCACATCTTGTCACAGCAAGAAGAAGTGACAGGCGGCCTGACCCCTACGCTCTGGACTCCAGACCATGACCTGGTGGATTCCCGAGGCCTGAACCGCGAGGTCTGAAAGGCTAGACCCTGGAATCTGTCAGTCCACAAATTCGGACATCGACGGCCTTCTAGCAAAGGGATGCAGAGGAACAACACTGAGCTCAACTCCTGGTACACGATTTCTGGAACCTGTGCGGAAGGATCGGCTTTGGCGGCTTTGGGCTGTGAAAGACTTCGGCGTGGCGCGACTACGGCCATCGGGCCAAGTGCTGAAAAGTTTAACCTGAATGGCACCGAAAAGGCCTTTTATGGCAAACTTGGCCATCTATGGCACCTGCACATTTCTCGGGGTGTCAGCCCCATTGCATCCCACCTCCCACCCCCTCCTAACAGAAAGCAGCCCGGAGCTGAAGGCAAGAGCCCTTGAGTAAGAACGCTGATCATTATTCATGCCAGCTGGCTGTCAGTTTTCTTTTTCAGGGTGAATACAGATTTGCAAAAGCTGCTCAATGCCCGAATTTCCTGCACCGATCCTTTGGGGAGTCTGGTATGCACGCGAACCGGACTTAAGCCCCGAACCCTTGAATCACGGAAATGCACACTTACAAAAGCATGAACTTCCAACGCCGCAGCGCCTCAACGGTCTTCTTCACTTCCTTGCAGGTTCTCGGGCATCGCATGTCTCCACGCCAGTGTCGTTTGCTCTAGCTGTTTTTGTGCCTTCGTGTCCGGTGATGTCTGGAAGACATACCGGACAGATAAACATGGCTCCCAGTCAGCCCCTATGCAGTCAACAAAGAAGCGTCTGGACTGAGAGCATCGACACACTCTTGGATGGAGGATTCGAGAGTTGATCGAGCACCCGTCTGCCGGACTGCAAGCGAAGAAACCTCCAAATCAAGAAGCCGATAACCGGGGGCTCCAAGACACCACGCACTTCATCCAAGCCCTCCGACACTGAAGCACCCTTGGCAATGAAATTCGAACAGCCGCTCCTAATGCCGTTGGAGCCCCAAAAGCCTACCCTGAACGGACGCAGCCGGACCCCACCCCCTTTCGGAGCACCTGAATCATCGGCACCTGCCGCACGCGCTGCACGGGGACGTGGACCTCCGGGGCGCAGGATCGCTTCTCATGTCGGCGGGTCGAAAGAAGAAAGAGCCTCTTTTCGAGAACAGAGCCGTTTGAGAGGCGAGTGCTCTGAAGCCCATAGGCAAAAAGTACAGAAAACAACCCAATGCTTGGGTTTTTGCGAGCCCTCGACTTGAGGCGAAGGCGGGCTTGTCGTCATATTCGATCTTCGGCACCTTTCACAGCTCACGGGTCAAGCAGGGGGTTGAAACATGCAGGGGTGGAGCTCCTACATTCATTCTCCCCCACCCCCGACCCCATGATGTAGTTTCGAGGCTTCCCATAGTTTCTGAAACAACATGCTACATGCCACGATCTCATCTGGCAGTCGTGGCGTCACACTCCTTAGAAGATTCCACACGTACAGACATGCAGGATGGAGTGTGGCTGTCGTTTGTTGTGTTGATTAGTATTGACAAGTGCTGAAGACTTCAAGCACAACAGGATACTAGCTTTAGTGATTTGTTCCCGACAAACATGCTCGACAAAAAACCACACTTAACCGGAACCTCACATGCCACTGTCGCACTGCTTGTCACGGAGCCTCAATCGTCTTCTGTACCTTCTGCACCTGGACTGTTCGCACTCATGAAACATGCTTGAACGCATTCGCTTGGCTGTTGGATTTGTAGCTCTGGCTTGCGAGGAAAAGGCAAAGAGGAAATCGTCGTGACTGGCTTCGAGAAGATGCCTCTTGACCCGCAGGGTAGAGCTTGTAGCGTGAAAGTAGTGCGTTCGTCTGTGGCTGTAGACTTAGGGTTGAGATTTTGCTCGCATCACTCCGGAAACCAATGCCGAGACCGGTCTCCCATCGATCCTGCCATGTGCCCCTGGAGCACTAGAGGACTGCACCTACCCCGTCCATGGGAACTCTTGCGCCATAACTCCCTGATCCCAAAAACTCTCTATCTTAGCCCTAGACCTAGCCTAGCCCAAACCACTGGGCTCCATCAACCACACGGGAGGTTCCCAGACAATGAAATCCGAAGGAATTGGTTAAGTCCAACGGGACCGCGCCTCCGGGATGAAGACCGGATTCCTCTGGGTGCTTTCGGTTGGAACGGGGCTGGGAGGCACAAGCTGTGGTTGTTCTTAGGATGACGAAGATTGAAACGGTGTGGTAGCGTTGGCAGTAGTAAACCATATGCACAAGATCGAAGGATGCGGGGATTGGCACTGTGTCTCAGGGTTCGAAAAACCGAATATCATTTGGCATAGCGTCGAACACCAATCCGGAACACCGCAGGATTCTCTACTTTGTGAGAACTTCCGCACTCGAAGGTGGCAAGGCGCTCGGTCAAAGGCAGTCTATCGCAAGACCCAGGCCGAAAGACTTGATCTGTTTGGAACTGTTAAAGTCTTTTCAAAACACCAAACCATTTTGGTAGTGTGGGTTCTGCGAAGCAGGATCCGTGAAGGCACCCCGAAACCCTACTCCAAATATGCGAATCACGAAGGAAAACGTTTTGTGCCGCCCTCCGTGGATTTTGTTTGAGCAGTTTGCTCCGACATGTATGGAAAACCTCTAGAAACATTACAGCAGTCCCCAATCCGTTTTCAGGCGGACGATGGCACTCCAATACGTGGAAAACCTCTGGGAACGTTACAGCCTCCCCATTTCCGATTTCAAGCAGACGATGGCCCTGTAATGAACCACCAGTGGCCCTATCATGAACCACCAGTGCTCCACAAAAGACACTCATAGCGACCCCAATCAACCATGCTGGTAAGCCCCTGGACCCCAGCGAACAGGGTCATCAAGTTTCGGGCCCCATGATAGAACGTCAGAAAATCCAGGACCCAGTTCTCCGAGGCGCTGGATTGGAACATCCACGAAGCGATCCACGTACTCAATGTCGGGAACCTCTTCATGTAGGATTGCAGGGACCCAGAGCCCCTAGCAGCCAGAATCCAAACTATCGAAGAACACCTTCCCGGCACTGCCCGGCACCCTGAACTCCTGTAACCGGACTTTACAAGAACTCTTGAATTCTTCAACCCTTCTCGCCCTGAAAAGTCCAAGGACCCCGCACCCTCAACATCTTAACCCTGAAACCCGAGCCGAAGACGCCCTAAACCCTAGAAACCCTTAACCCCAAAACCCCCGAAGCCTAAGACCGAAGCGATACCAATAAGCCCAAAGGTCTGCAAACCTAAACCCGAATAGTCCTAAGCCCACACAGGCTGAAAACCCCACACGAAGGACCCGTGCTCAAGTATCGTAAACCCTAAACCCCAGTGCCTAAAACCCCAAACCCTAAAAGTTCTGGAAACCATGAAGGCACCAAACCCAAAAACCCTGAAAACTAAAACCTCAAAGTCCCCAAATGCTTAACTTAACCACGCCAAAAAACAATCCGAAAGTCCAGGATCTAAACCTTCGACCCTATGTAAAACCCAAAGCCTCAAACCTAAACGCCGCAAAAGCCTAAAACTCCCAAGCCCAGACCCTGCAAGCCCCAAACCCCCCGCAAAGCCTAAGAAAATCTTACAGGCCCCAAACCTTAAACCCCAAAGCCAAACCTAAAGCTACAACCCCAAAGCCTCAAACCCCAAAGACAAATAAGAGAAAACCCCAACCCCACAAGCCCTAAACACCCATGGAAGCCCAGAACCCTAGAACCGTTAAACCTCAACACCCCAAAGCCTAAGACCTTAATCGCCCGTAAGATCGTAAACCCTAAACCCTAAAA